CCGATTGTTGTGCTGATTAGTAGGCATTGTTACCTCGGAAGGCACTTCAACTGGACGCACTGGCTTTAACTTAGGCTTTGTGGTATGACTCAATTTCGAAGGGAAAGCTGGTTGCAAGGAATCTATAATGTGGTTTCACAGGAAACTGAAGGAGGATCAACGCCCACGGAAGACTGTTGAATATTGCGAAGAAGTCCTCGGCTCACCGCCCTGCGACCCCGATTAAACTGTGCTAAGTTTTCCTCTGTACTGTGCCAGACATCATCAGAGCAAGATTCTATACTTTACCAAATAGAAAAAAAGTATACTTAATCAAAGGTTGCAGTCGACCACCTTTTCTCTTGGTTAAGTATATTTTTTGCTATATTTCGTGAAGTATGGATACCTGCTCTGATGATGTCTGCCAGGGCAGTACAGACGAAAGTCTAGCACAGTTTCATCGGGGTCGCAAGACAGTGAGCCGAGGACATCTTCGCACAGTTCATCAGTCTTCCATACGCCTCAATCCTCCTTCAGCTTCCAGTGAAACCACATCATAGACTCCTTCAAACCAGTTTTCCCTTCGAAATTGAGAATCATGTCACAATATTTCATTAAGAACTTTTTCGAAACTCTGTTTTTCTTCATATTTAAATTAGGCTGCCTTATAATCCCAAAGAAAAGCAATTTTTTGTTGCGTCGTTTTTTTATTAACTCTAAGATCATACGTGATTTCCTGTCGGTCATGCTCTGGAGTTTTTGAAAGCCTTTCTTAGTCATGATCCTGGCCAGATCACGTCGGGACTGATAGTTGAGCTTTCCTACAATTAGATGAGAGAAATAGCCCTCAGGAGGCCGTTGAAAGTCATTTGGCCTTGACCTCCAAAATGCTACCTCATCAGGGCTAGATCGGACTGGACCACGATTTTGGCCTGGCTTCTACGTCTCATAAGCACTCACAACGGGAGTCTTTACCGAGTGGTGAGACAAACATTTATTTGTCGTTGCAATAGGTCAGCTTACTTATTATCGATATAAGTAGATTAAAAACGGTACCTTGTTAATAAGACCCATTTAGCCTTGGTAGCTTTTGGCAATTTTAATGACTAATAGTTGATGAAACCTGGACAGTCCATTCAGGAGGAGATGGTCATTTGTGAGGCAACGCCTAATGAAATTCCGATGGGAACTGCTTTTAATCAGCGTAAATGACTTATCATTCTATAGAAATGGAATTCCGAGGAATGCCAGCTTTCGGGAACAAAACTTCACCTTCCCACGCATCCCAGAATAACATCCTCTTCAAAACTGGTATGCCTCGACGACAATCGCCCTTCTGATGGTCATCTTGTGGAGACTGCCATTTTCTATGAAAGTGTTTGATGAAACGAGGAATAGGTCAGTCTCACGGGACGAAGAGGGCTGATTCTCATTGTTGTTCTGCTCCAGTTTGGCTTTAGTGCAGCTCTTTCAACGTGAATATGGTGTAAAAGCAGAAGGGCTGCACAACACGGTTGCCAATCGGCCGTCATCGTCCGGTGTGATCAAGCAACCAATAAGTAAAATGAAATTCTTCAAGACCCCCAAGAGGCTCAGTGAAATCCGGTTATTCTTCGCCTTGGCCATACTTTCGTCTCACCCTCCAGCCTCGGTGGCTCGGAGATGCGGTGGTTGCCCTCTTAACTTTGCCCAACCTGGGGATGGCGTCCACCTCGTCCTCCTCCTTCTGACTGTCATTCCACGAGAGGTCAGGTGCGCCCAGCCAGGACACTGCTCGGCGCACGAGGCCAATTCAAATCGCCTCTCCTCTTCGAACGATCGATAGAGGCAGTCGGCTTCAATGGGTTCTCCGCATCCGATTGGTGCACCGCTGGACGCACGAATGAGTGTCTGCCGGCCACGTGCACCATCCAGCCCTACTCACGCCTCGCCTGTGGCAGGGTACGATCAATTTTCGCCTAATCACCTCGCCCAACTAGTGGAATCGTCTAACCGCGACTCGGAAGTCTGCTTTCATGTCGCCTCTCCCCCCCCCAATCGGCTGGCTGAGTACACGGCTGCCTGCGCGAGTGCACGTATATGCGAGTTGGCCGGTTCGCGTGTGCTCATGTCCGTCTATCCGCCATTTGTTTCGCGCGCCGCCTAACCAGGCTGCTACCGCCTTGGCTTTGCCTCTCCTCTCCTCTCCTCTGCCGTGCCGCTCAGGCTCCGATCTGACTCGAGCAGACTGTCGGTCTGTCTCAATGTGGCTCCACTCGACCGAAGTGGGGCACCGACCGGCCGGCCCGTGTGTACGCCCTCTTCCGCCGGGCGCGGGCTTGGCGGCCTCAGTGGCTCCACGGCCCCGCGTACGTCTGCATTCACAGATGGCCTAGCCGTCCGGCCCTAGCTTGCCTGTTCGCCTGACTGTCTCTGTGCCTGCCGCAATGCCGTCCTCTCGGCCTGGTCCGCCCGACTCACGGCAGCCTCGCAGTCTGACGTCGCCCGTTCGCTTGCCTCGTCACATCGATCTGCCTGTCTGTCGCCAGTTCATCGGCGCGCTATTTCGCCTGCCTTTCGTCCTGTCTCTGCTCGGACCTGCTGCCCTGTCTGTCTGTCTGTCTGTATGT